GCCCCTTCCAGAGCTGAGATATCGAAACTCAAAAATTCGGCCCGAAAAAAAAACGACAGTGGTACCCCTTACGTTTTTTTTTTTTTGGGCGAAAAATTAAGTTTCTCCAATCTTCCCAAAACTCTGGATTCTGATAGAGGGCCATGAGACTTAGACCTGAGTGCAAAAATGGAGGCTCTAGCCCCTTCCAGAGCTGAGATATCGAAACTCAAAAATTCGGCCCGAAAAAAAAAACGACAGTGGTACCCCTTACGTTTTTTTTTGGGGGGCGAAAAATTAAGTTTCTCCAATCTTCCCAAAACTCTGGATTCTGATAGAGGGCCATGAGACTTAGACCTGAGTGCAAAAATGGAGGCTCTAGCCCCTTCCAGAGCTGAGATATGGAAACTCAAAAATTCGGCCCGAAAAAAAAACGACAGTGGTACCCCTTACGTTTTTTTTTTTTGGGCGAAAAATTAAGTTTCTCCAATCTTCCCAAAACTCTGGATTCTGATAGAGGGCCATGAGACTTAGACCTGAGTGCAAAAATGGAGGCTCTAGCCCCTTCCAGAGCTGAGATATGGAAACTCAAAAATTCGGCCCGAAAAAAAACGACAGTGGTACCCCTTACGTTTTTTTTTTTTGGGCGAAAAATTAAGTTTCTCCAATCTTCCCAAAACTCTGGATTCTGATAGAGGGCCATGAGACTTAGACCTGAGTGCAAAAATGGAGGCTCTAGCCCCTTCCAGAGCTGAGATATGGAAACTCAAAAATTCGGCCCGAAAAAAAAACGACAGTGGTACCCCTTACGTTTTTTTTTTTTGGGCGAAAAATTAAGTTTCTCCAATCTTCCCAAAACTCTGGATTCTGATAGAGGGCCATGAGACTTAGACCTGAGTGCAAAAATGGAGGCTCTAGCCCCTTCCAGAGCTGAGATATGGAAACTCAAAAATTCGGCCCGAAAAAAAAAAACGACAGTGGTACCCCTTACGTTTTTTTTTTTTTGGGCGAAAAATTAAGTTTCTCCAATCTTCCCAAAACTCTGAATTCTGATAGAGGGCAATGAGACTTAGACCTGAGTGCAAAAATGGAGGCTCTAGCCCCTTCCAGAGCTGAGATATGGAAACTCAAAAATTCGGCCCGAAAAAAAAAACGACAGTGGTACCCCTTACGTTTTTTTTTTTTTGGGCGAAAAATTAAGTTTCTCCAATCTTCCCAAAACTCTGGATTCTGATAGAGGGCAATGAGACTTAGACCTGAGTGCAAAAATGGAGGCTCTAGCCCCTTCCAGAGCTGAGATATGGAAACTCAAAAATTCGGCCCGAAAAAAAACGACAGTGGTACCCCTTACGTTTTTTTTTTTTTGGGCGAAAAATTAAGTTTCTCCAATCTTTCCAAAACTCTGGATTCTCATAGAGGGCAATGAGACTTAGACCTGAGTGCAAAAATGGAGGCTCTAGCCCCTTCCAGAGCTGAGATATGGAAACTCAAAAATTCGGCCCGAAAAAAAAACGACAGTGGTACCCCTTACGTTTTTTTTGGGGGGGGCGAAAAATTAAGTTTCTCCAATCTTCCCAAAACTCTGGATTCTGATAGAGGGCAATGAGACTTAGACCTGAGTGCAAAAATGGAGGCTCTAGCCCCTTCCAGAGCTGAGATATGGAAACTCAAAAATTCGGCCCGAAAAAAAAAAACGACAGTGGTACCCCTTACGTTTTTTTTTTTTTGGGGCGAAAAATTAAGTTTCTCCAATCTTCCCAAAACTCTGGATTCTGATAGAGGGCCATGAGACTTAGACCTGAGTGCAAAAATGGAGGCTCTAGCCCCTTCCAGAGCTGAGATATCGATACTCAAAAATTCGGCCCGAAAAAAAACGACAGTGGTACCCCTTTCGGGTTTTTTTCGGGCGAAAAATTAAGTTTCTCCAATCTTCTCAAAACTTGGATTCTGATAGAGGGCAATGAGACTTAAACCTGAGCGCAAAAATGGAGGTTCTAGACCCTTCCAGAGCTGAGATATCGAAACTCAAAAATTCGACCTGAAAAAAAAACGACAGTGGTACCCTTTCGTTGTTTTTTTTTTTTTTTGGGCGAGAAATTAAGTTTCTCCAATCTTCTCAAAACTCTGGATTCTGATAGAGGGCCATGAGACTTAGACCTGAGTGCAAAAATGGATGCTCTAGACCCTTTCAGAGCTGAGATATCGATACTCAAAAATTCGACCCGAAAAAAAACGACAGTGGTACCCCTTTCGGGTTTTTTTCGGGCGAAAAATTAAGTTTCTCCAATCTTCTCAAAACTCTGGATTCTGATAGAGGGCCATGAGACTTAAACCTTAGTGCAAAAATGGAGCCTCTAGACCCTTCCAGAGCTGAGATATCGAAACTCAAAAATTCGACCCAAAAAAAAACGACAGTGTTACCCCTTTCGGTTTTTTTTCGTTTTCGTAAAAATGTGCAACGTTTTGACCCAAAGGTCATCGTCAGGCAAACAACTTCCATTTACTCTCTAGTGAAGTGCTGTGAATAAAAAAATCTTAGACATGACTAGAAACAGACGTTTTCTTAGAGTCTGTATTTTACTTCATGATATTTCAAAATGAACTGATTTTTTTTCAAATTCTTAAATACTTAGACCCAATTATGGCCCTTGTGTGCGTAAAATACACCTTGTTCCTGCCACATATTTTTGAGTTTCAGCCTTGAAAAGTGTCTTTTCATTAGCATAAAACAAAACAGTCATTGAAAAAAAAAACATATTCTTAATATTGTTAGCTGTATATGGAGTTAAAATCAGCTATTTCAGCTTTTGTAAAGGGATAGTTCACTTTGAAATAATTTTTTGCTATGTTTTAGCTTACCTCAAGGGCATCCAAGATGTAGATGTCTTTGTTTCCGCAGTATTTTCAATTTGAATATTTTTAGGTCAAACCGTTCTTGTCTGTCAGTCATAAAATGGAGGTCTATGGTCACCACCTCAAAGAGCATGCACAGAGAAGTCCAAATTAAACATGATTTGATGACTCGTAAATGTAAGTACACACTGATGGCCTAAGACACGAAACGAGCGGTTTGTGTGAGAAAACGAACAGTATTTATAGTTTTTACCCCGTGTAACTAACCACAGCCACGTCCAAGTGATCTGCGGGCGCTTCGGTCTGCGCAAGCGCCGGAAGTGATCTCTCGCGTTTGTACGTCACTGATTGTTTACACAGAGATTTCGAAAGCGTTACCTTTCAGTGTGAAGATCTAAACATATTTAGATATACAGGAAATCACAATAGAAGACGATTTCGATATATCAACAGGCAACGTTGGTTTTGTTTTCGCAAACGCGCGAGAGATCACTTCCGACACTTGCGCAGACCGAAGTGCCCGCGTCTTCAGATCACTTGGACATGGCTGTGGTTACACGAGGTAAAAACGATATAAATACTGTTCATTTTCTCACACAAACCGCTCGTTTCGTGTCTTAGGCCATCAATGTAGTATACTTATATTTACATTTAATCTGGACTTCTCTGTGCATGCTCCTTGAGGTGGTGACCATAGACCTGCATTATATGACTGACAGACAAGAACGGTTTGACCTAAAAATATCAAAATAGAAAATACTGTCAAACAAAGACACCTACATCTTGGATGCCCTTGAGGTAAGATAAAACACACCAAAAATGAATTTCAAAGTGAACTATCCCTTTAAAGTTTGAGGTTAGTTCCCACAAAAGTAGCTTATTGAATTCAAACACGGTAATGCTTGCCTGTAGTCTGTGTGAGTACCAAGCAGCTGCTAAGCTTGTCTAAAAGATGCTAAAGAGCTCTGTAATGAATTGAGCTTGGCTAATTCTCCCACCCAGGACATCCAAACACACAGATCCTCCTCCCTCCCCCCTTTACGACGGTCATTAGCGCCTGACATCCGTGACGGCAGCCATCAGCGGCCGTCTGCATCGAGTGCTGAATACAGCTCTGACATCCCCCCATTTTCACGCCTCTTAAGACTCTTTCACGGCCACAGAGGGGCCTATGACATGCTTTGTTATGTAAGGTAATACCTTAAGTGTCCTAAGGATGTAACATCAAATAATGTGTGTGTAGACAGACAGAGATAGGTGGGGTTCCAATTAGAGCCAACAAAAGGGGGAGAAAGTGAAAGAAAAACAAAACATATGCAAAGCAAAGCGAGATAAAAACTCGACAGAAACGAACCATCAAAAAGCAAATGTGAGAATTCTAATTTGCACGTTATTTGTTGCAGAAAACATTGAAATGAAATACTTGAACTGATGAAGTGATTTGGCAAGATTGTGTGCTCATATAAAGGTAAAAAGAGCTGCTTATATTAATAATGATACTACTTATTTTTTTTTATATATCTGTACCTTCCAATCATGAACCAAATTGTGATTAGGATCTCACACAGAAGTGCTCTCATTAAATCTCACAGCAGATGTTTGTCTACTTCACTTCCCCTTCAACTTATATATAAATATGAGCTTATTAGTTGCTTATTTCTTTCTCTGAAAAAGAAAAGGACCACAACATCATTACTGAACACATTTACTGACCATTCTGTATTTCAGACATACAATATTGTAATTTCCAAACAGCATTTTTACACCACGTTTCTCTTTTTTAACAAAAATAATATTAAGTAGCAGCAAAAGCAAACACAGAATAAATAGACATCTTAACGACAAAGCCAAAAAAAGTCCTTTCTATAGGTCCTCAATACGCAGGCATTTGAGGTTTCAAGTCAAAATGAATCAAAAGTCTTAAGAAATGCATTTAATGGCACATCCTTTGGCACAATCGACAAGCACGCCATCTTTTCACACATACAGAGACCCTCAGATCAGCACTCAGACTTTTCTTCAATTCAACTGAAGCAGCTTCTTTATTTTCTATTTGACAAACAACATTTCAGTTTAGTGCCACCTCCTCATTACATTCACTCTCTGTTCTAGAGTTGATCTGGTGTTCGCTCGGGTCAGGGCATGAAGAACCAGACCTCGTTGTGCCGCCTTTAGAAAGTTCACCAGCACGAGTAGGAGAACAATGGGTATTGGCTCCAGTCCCCTACATTTCCATGGTGGTACCCGTGATGGACGGCCTGGGTGCTGTATTCGCTGGGTAGGTGGTGATGGGGGGGTGGTGGCGGGGGGTATTGAGCGGACGCTGCCCCGCTCCACTGTTCTGTGCTGTAGGGGGTGTAGAGAGGATGGTGGCCCAGTATACCAGGCTTGGTCTGGGCTATGGCCATGTTCAGGACCCCTGTGTAGTCCTGGTGTCCCGCCGAGGGATGTGGGGGGCAGGTGGGGGGAAGACCGAACTCCGGGGCGGAGGGTTTGCTGGAGGATTCGTGATCAGGCACGGTGGCAACATCCGGCACACGGGATTCGAGGCTGGAGCGGCCGGCGCTCCCACATACACTCGCGCTGCCAGCACTGGAGGACGACGGCGAGGGGGACTTGCCATATTCATGAAATCTGTGGAAAAGACCCGATTTTAGCACTGAGACATTGACAAGGCAGTATCATTGGCGGCTTCATTTATATAGCACTTTTAAAGGAGTAGTTCACTTTCGAAAAAACTTTTGCTGATAATTTACTCACCCCCATGTCATCCAAGATGTTCACGTCTTTCTTTCTTCAGTCGAAAAGAAATGAAGGTTTTTGATGAAAACATTCCAGGATTTTTCTCCATATAATGGACTTCAATGGGGTCCAAACGGTTCAAGGTCCAAAACATTTTCAGTACAAACTGCAAACTGTTCAAAGGGCTTTAAATGATTCCAGACGATGAATAAGGGTCTTATCAAGCGAAACGATCGCTCATTTAATAAATAAATAACAAAGTTTAAGTTTTATCATCTCAAATGCTCGCCTTGCTCTGTTCATGCTCATTCATCAAAATGAACAAAACTTTTTCTGAGTCATTTGGTTCATTCAATGAACGAAACGAACAAATTGACTCGGGTAAAAGATTCGTTCATTTTGATGAACGAGTTCAAACAGGAGAGTCACAAACGCGCATCACAGAACAGAGCAAGGCGAGCATTTGAGCTTATAAAACTTAAACTTTGTTATTTATTTTTTAAATGAGCGATCGTTTCGCTTGTTAAGACCCTTATTCATCGTCTGGTGTCGTTTAAAGCTCTTTGAACAGTTTGCAGTTTGCACTGAAACTGTCTTTTGGAACTTTTTGGACCTCGTTTGGTTCCCATTGAAGTCCATTATATGGAGAAAATCCTGGAATGTTTTCATCAAAAACCCTAATTTCTTTTCGACTGAAGAAAGAAAGACATGGACAACTTGGATGACATGGGGGTGAGTAAATTACCAGCAAAGTTTTTTTAAAAGTGAACTACTCCTTTAACACTTTTGTTTCAAAGCAGCTTTACAGTGATAATAGGAAATGAAAGTAGCAGATTGTTTTGGCTTTACAGCAGCTCTAGAATAAAGTTCAGCTGTCCATCTAAAGTTAGTTTTGATTGAACGGCCATTTAACTGTATTCGCAACACATTCTCATCCCAAGAGGACATCAACTGACCATACGTCAACATCCAACGTTTTAGGGTACCCTTTAGCGTCAGTTAGATGACGCGGGTAGGTTTATGTCTGGGGTAGGGTTAGGATTAGATATCATCATCTAACTGATGTTAAAGGGTGCCCTAAAATGTCGGATGTTGACGTATGGTCAGTTAGATGACGTCTTGGGATGAGAACGGGCTGGTTTTCAGTTAAAACAGTGTCGTGTTAGCGGCCGCTAAGTTAATAACTAATGATCTTTGAAGAAGAAGTGACTCAATCAAAAACTAACTTTATTCTAGAGCTGCTGTAAAGACAAAGTAATCTCTGTTACTTTAATATCCTATTATCACTGTAAAGCTACTTTGAAACAATCTATATTGTTAAAAGCACTATATAAATGGACATAGGAAAATAAGGTCTTGTTTGAGGTACCTGTACGGCTGGTACGTGCTCTGTCCGGGTACGAGCTGTTCAGAGCTGTACATGTCCCGAGGGTCCGAGCCCAGCGGGGACTCTGCGCGGAGAGCGTGGCTGTTGTCCCGGTCGCACGAACTTCCCCATGGGGAGTACCGCTCCACCTTCACCTCCGACTCCTTGCGGGACACGTGTTCATCATCCAGACCTTCACACGAGGACTGTTGGATATCTGTATCAAGACGAGTATCAAGGAGACGTGAGTCAACTACTAAATCTATCCACACACGTCGTTAACCCAGATCTAGAGACATAAAATCAAAGGCGATTACCTCGTGGGCTTCCATGTTCAGAGTCTTTTGACATTTTCTTTGCAACTCTCTCAGGATCAGCCAGACTTCTGTTTGCCCGTCTGTGAAAGGAAAGTTCAATGAAGTAAAATGGCTCACAGTTTAAACCGATTTACTGAACATTTAAAAAAAAAAATAGGGCTGGGTAACAATTAATCGCGATTAATCGCATCCAAAATAAAAGTTTGTGTTTATTTAATAGATGTGTGTAGTGTGTATAATTATTTTGTGTATATATATATATATAAATACACACACATGCATGTATATATTTTATCATTAATATATCAAATATTTATATTTATATAATATTAATTATGTATAAATATATATATAAAGTATATACATAAAAATATTTCTTAAATATATACATGCATATGTGTGTATTTATTTATACAAAATAATGATACACACTTCACACTTATATATTATCTAAACACAAACATTTTAATTTTGGATGCGATTAAAAAAATTAATTTGTTGTATTTTACTTTTCCTATTCGTTTTGGTATGGTTATTGTCAGCTGTAATTCATATTTTATGATGAATTGTTTTCTGCATTTTAGAAAGTTGTTGGAATAGAAATATCTATTTTAAGAGCAACCTGTAATGAAAATAAAACACAACCTCAAGATGATATTACCTTTTAGAATTTGTACCCTCATCTCTGAATCCTTTGGCAAATGGATTGTGGTCGATTTTCAGCTTTGTAATCTGTGAGAGAAATAATGGAACAATAAATCGAAGTTCTAATTAATTCCAATAAAATAAAATGAAAAAATGTGCACTTGAAAATATGTGCATATAAACATACACTCCAAAAAAAAATGCTGGGTTGTTTGAACCCAAATTTGGGTCAAATATGGACAAACCCAAATGTTGGGTTAAAAATGCTAACCCAACGTTTGTCTTTGTCCTTATTTGACCCAAATTTGGGTTCAAACAACCCAGCATTGTTTAGAGTGTATACAGTGCGGATCAAAACCTTTCATCAAACTTATACATAAACTCTGAACAACACCCGTTCTTGTCTTAAGACAACTTTGATGTACTTTTTCTCCCCAATATTCAGAATAGCGACCAATCAATGTGTTTTACATATATTTCATTTAATATTCGATGTATGAAGTGTATTCACTAGTCTTACCTTTGTGTTCTGGTACGCTGTGACCGCAGTGAAGGTGGTCTCGGGGAAGGTGAAGGTCTGGAAGACGCTCCAGCGTACACTGTACAAATCATCAGCCTGGACGATGTGGAAACGCGGGTGGTAGCGGTGCATGGAGTGAAGTATAATCTGATTCAAAAGAAGAGACATGGGTTTAAATCAAATTAGTCAAATTAGTGTTGAACAAATGTAAGATTCAGAGTGGGACACTCACATGTCCATGCTGGTCCAGGGCGTTGTTGGTGAGCTTGAGTTTGAGGAAAGACACGGACTGTTTCATCCAGTGGCTTCCGGGCGCTGGCGAATCCGGGTGTAGGTACGTCCTATAGGGCGGCTGAGGCTCAGCTTTCCCCGCCACTTCCCACTTGTCCTTGTTCCACTATTGAAAAAGAGGCTTTTCATTGAATCATAGACCTCAGAATAGCAACTACATTGCCCATGACATAAGGTGCCGGGGGGTGCCGGGGTGCGAGAGTATGTGTGAACGAGAGTGTGTGTTGAGGTAAAACCCCCCATTGGGTCCTGTAAAAACAGGAAGAGTTGGGGCTCTTTGAAGTTGAGGAGTGGTGGGAACGTTCTGGGGAGACACATGTGACAACGTCCCCCCAACGCTCCAGCCGTTCACGATTGACTCCCAATTCATTTCAATAGTCTAGACAAGCATTCAAATGGATAAGACCTTAATATCGGCAACCACTACGTTAAGAGTCAGTGATCCATGAACTTTATTAGGTTCTAACCTTATATCTGAGACCATCTTCAGGCACCATGTCCACCAGTAAGATGTACTTTGCATACGGCACCAATCCAGACAAGCTGATTTTGCAGTGTGGAAACATCCTCCTGTAATATAAAGCACACCAAAGTACAGTTTATCTTAACGCTTCCTTTTACAGTCCAGTTACCCATGTAAATACTAGGTACTTATTTTAGTAACTACAATTACTACTAACCCATGTTCCATGTACTAACAGGCAGTATATTAGGCAGTACTTTCTAGGTAAGTACACTGTAAGTACTGTACTGTAAAAGGAAGCGTTACCGAATTACCTACATTGAGGTCAGTGGATCCAAAGATTAAGTTTTAATTGAGGAACTTGGACGTACCTGCCAGGTTTGGTGATGATCATCTCGGTGCCGATCTCATGGAAGGATCTCCACAGATCCGGATCCTCTATGGTCATCCGGATGTTGCCTTGGTGGTAGGAATCGCCGGCTCCAGCCATGGAAGGCGGAGGAGGGAGGCTGAAATTATGCTTGAGGTCTGAGGAAAGACGAAATATTTGATGTTTTGTCAATGGCATCCCATGGAGAAAGTCGTCCCAGAGAAAATTCAAGTCCAAACAGACGAATTAACAATGAGCAAGAGCACTGTAGGTGAATTGGGCTTAAGACAAACACTCACCTCTGATAGCCTGCATTATGTAGGCTTCTCCTCCAGAAGAACAAGAATGAGCAACACCTAGACGTTTCAGTTAAAACACAAGTTCTCCATAAGAACTTAAAGGGCTTGAGTTAAATCCAATGTTTGTTAAGTCCAAGGATGAAGTTGTGTCTGTCTGTACAGATGCAGAGGCGGCGTCCCACACCTTTAAGTGGGTTCTGGATGTGGGCGGGGCTTGAACCCCCATTCCCTGCCTTTGAAGTGACTCAGTGATGAGTCAATGCCATGATCCGATTGGTCGATGTGCGGAATCAAAGAGAGTTAGCAGAGCCTTGATAGAGTCCCAACAGGAAGGGGACAAGCGGAGGAAACATGTCTTTATGAACTGCTAAAGGACTTTTAAACAAATACGTACAGGCCCAAAGAATACAGGCTACCAAACTCCCTTCATTAATCCAGCTAATGTGAGGAAGAGCAAAGACTTCACTTTCTAATTGACTGCATTGACCCCCCTCGCACAAACACAATCTGACACACTCGGCGCTCGTGTTTGCGAATTCACACGCACATATCCACTAATTCTCACTGATGCTACAGACACCGGGTCCTGATTTTTACAACTGTGGTGAATAATTTAAAATGCAATTGTTGTCACTTGAGTTCGTCTGAACTTTGCTTTTCATATGTTCTAAGCTCGATGGTTTTGATGGCCACGCTTTCACAACACATCTGCTGCGTCTTAAACCATGAGGAAAAAACAATCCAATTTAACCTTCCTAAACTTTGGGTTTGGATTATGGGCTTTCGTCAACAGCAGACTTGAGACAAATATTGACCTGCAGTTTTAAAAGTAAAGCTTCTCAATGGTTTTTTGAAGCACTAAGAAACCCTTTTCTCATCATTAACCATTATTTGCAGGTCTTGGCTATATTTCTGTGGAGATTAAAATGTTGTAGATGTATTAAAGAGATATCATCCATTAAAATACAAATACAAAGTAATGCGTTTTTTAGAGAACTGTGGAACTTCAAAAGTTATGTCTCTGCGTCATGCTTTAAAAATGTTTTGGTACCTTTGTTTTTAGTGGACTTATTTTATTATATTAACGGCCCCCTGACATGAAATTTTAACTTTTTGAGGTTTTTCATACATTAATATGAGTTCCCCTAGCCTGTATATGAAGAGTTCAGATGCAAAAGCCTCTAAATGCCATTTGAAATTTTCTTCTTTAATGATGATTTTTGTCAAACTTGTATATTTAAGTTCAGTGATTTCACTTAAATGGCAATCATAATTACCTATTAATTGTTATTTAAGTGAAATTACTGAACTTAAATATACAAGTTTGACAAAAATCATCATTAAAGAAGAAAATTTCAAATGGCATTTAGAGGCTTTTGCATCTGAACTCTTCATATGGTCCCCAAGTGGCTAGAAATTTCAGTCTTTCTCTGTTTTTGATAATAGCGATGCTATAGAAGAACCATTTTGGATTCCCAAAAACAGTTTTTCTAAGTGTGAAGAACTTTTGTGCAATGGAAAAACGTTGCTATCGATATTAAAGGTTATGGTCATTGAGCCATATATGCCAATGTAGAAAAGTACATTGGCATATATGTTTAATATACTCTAAATATGGACAAACACAGCTATTGGGTTACATTTTAACCCAATGTTTGAGTTTGTCCATATTTGCCCCAAAATTTGGGTTAATTTCACTCTAAAAAATGATGCTGGGTTGTTTTAACCCAATTTTGGGTCCAATATGGACAAACCCAGCCATTGGGTTGCATTTTAACCCAGTGTTTGAGTTTGTCCATATTTGACCCAAATTTGGGTTAATTTCACTCTAAAAATGCTGGGTTTTTTTAACCCAATTTTGGGTCAAATATGGACAAACCCAGCCATTGGGTTACATTTTAACCCAATGTTTGAGTTTGTCCATATTTTACCCAAATTTGGGGTAATTTCACTCTAAAAAAAATGCTGGGTTCTTTTAACCCAGTTTGGGTCAAATATGGGTTAAAACAATCCAGCATTTTTTACAGTGTATATAGAAAAGTTGTATGTTAATTGTTTAATCGAGTGACCCAATGTTCCAAACGAATCATTGAACATAAACTCTATTATTGTGACTGAATCATGTCAGATATAATAGTGACATAAAGCCATTATAGAGTTATGGGTGGAAGCAAACCCTGTGTAAATCTAAAGGTGAGCTTCACCTGAGAGAGCGTGTGTGTGTGTGTGTGTTTGGTGGGAGGGAGGGGGTTGCGTATTCAGGGTGTCTAGACATGATCGTTCCTTGATGGTTAATCTCATTAGGAAGAAATGCTCTCTGAAGGCCGAGGGCTTTCTATTCATGCAGAGACACAGGCAGAGATACATAGAGAGGGAGAGATAGATAGGGAACCGTCCCAGAAGAATTGAGGCTACTTTAGTAGTTCACAGCCTGTTAGCGCCACTGATCTGCCGTTTTCATGCAACATGAATAGAGAGAGTTTACTTGTATGAATGTCAGTCATTGTTATGCATGTGTGACTATACGCTGAAATGAGTGCTTGACTGACTCTGCTCACAAATGGAGGAACGGAAATTTATTTTCTGTGTGTTTCTTTGGTTAAGACGATAGAAAAAAGGGCTTAATTTATATTTTTTATATCAATTATAGATAAAGAAAATGATGGGGAAATTGGAGAAAGTAATGGATTAAATAATATACAGGCACGGGACGGGTCCCAAAAGAGACTTTGTGGAAAACATGGGATTCTTTCCAACTTAACAATTTAAAAGTTGTTCAAATATGAGTTAGAAATATTAAAGATTCTTCACAATTTCCAGGGAGATTTGTGACCCTGATCAAGTACGGCTGCCTTTTTTTGCAAACCGAATAAGACATTTGGAAAGTTATCTGATTTTTTTTTTTTTCTAAGTAGGACCAAATATGATTCATAGTGGCGTCCAATCCAAACTAGACCCGAATGTGATACTTTAGGATTGATTCAAAAGAGGTTTCATTTGCAATTCTGTATATTCCTTTAGGGTGTTTTAAAACAGGAATTGACTTAACCCTCAGAAAACACAATCCCCAGTTTGTTCTGTTTCTCCACCCCGGCATAAAGCACTGTTAGCACAACTCTTTCTTATGCGAAACATCAACTCCAGCGAAACACACTCCTAATCACCACCATTTCCTACATTTGCTGAGCTTTTCAGAACAAATACTGCCACACATAAAATAAAAACGAGTGCTGTAGTTGACGGCATGTTGTATTGTTGATGCATACTGTGAATATGTGGGCATTGGACGTCAGTGGAATTTGTTTTATACACGTCAATAATAATTTATATTGCATGGTCTTTTCTTGCCGTTATTCATCTGAAAAATGGAAAAGTTTCTCTTTGTTTTTATGTGAACATATTAGCATTTACAAAAAGTCTGATGATGTTACAATGGTTTTTTGGACATAAACCCAAGTAAAAAAAGACCATAGCATGATATTATTTGCAGTATACACTCAAAACAATGCTGGGTTGTTTTGACCCAAAATTGGATAAAATATAGACAAACCCAAATGTTGGGTTAAAAATGTGATTTCAAATTTTAACCCAACCTCAACTGTACATTTTTTTTAATTGCATTTTTAACCCAACATTTGGGTTTGTCCATATTTGACCCAAATTTGGGTTAAAAAACAGCAATTTTTAGAGTGTACACTCTAAAAAATGCTGGGTTGTTTTAACCCAACTTTGGGTCAAATATGGACTAACCCAGCCGTTGGGTTAAATTTTTACATGCATTTTTAACCCAACATTTGGGTTTGTCCATATTTGACCCAAATTTGGGTTAAAACAACCCAGCAATTTTTAGAGTGTACCTTGGGAAACATGTACATTTTTTATGGTATGTGAATATGGCAATCATTTAGTGCAATGATATATATCGAATTAAATTACCGTGGCATTATCATCTCACGCCTTCACTGAACCATGTACTAAAACAGTATGACTGATTTATTTTACATTCACTCTAAAAAATGCTGGGTTGTTTTAACCCAATTTTGGGTCAAATATGGACAAACCCGAAATGTTGGGTTAAAAATGTAATGTAAAAATGTAACCCAACGGCTGGGTTAGTCCATATTTGACCCAAAGTTGGGTTAAAACAACCCAGCATTTTTTAGAGTGTTACATGCACACTCTAAACAATGCTGGGTTGTTTTAACCAAAATTTGGGTCAAATATAGATAAACCCAAATGTTAAATTTTAACCCAACTTCAACTGTACATTTTTGAATTGCATTTTTAACCCAACATTTGAATTTGTCCATATTTGACCCAAATTTGGGTTGAAACAAACCATAATTTCAGTTTCTTTTAGTTGATGAAAACATTTTTAATGCATAAATGTGTTATAACACACTAAACACAAAGTGCAGTCCTGTTCTCATCTTTAATGCATTTCTCCCTATTGATCAACAGCAAATGAACCTAAAGTGTGTCTGAAGTGTTATTTTTAGTGGATCTAATAAAGCAGATTGAAATGTTTACTCTGGAACGGGCGGTAAAATCAGAGTTGCCTTTTTTTTACGAGCTAAAAGCGCTCAATAGCTGTGAAGGTATTGATTGAGGATATGAGGAAGTCTAAAAGGATTTGTACTGGAATACCAAGTTAAACAAAGCGCATCTAAAATCCTCACACCTCACGGCCTAAACCTAGTGAAAACAGCAGAAGACATCTCTCCATCATGAAGGTGTGATCCCAGGATTGGAGCTGGTCCATATGAGTCACACATGACGCGTGGTTCTCCTCACTCCGCTGAGGTTACACACACATTTCTAAGAGACTAGCGTATCGTTTTGCTAAACCTAATCCACTTATATTAGCACCCCTGACCATTAACATGTCGTTTTAGTGCCATTTTTACACTAGATTAGATATCACGGTTGGACAGGGGTGAAAATGACTTCTTATAATGTCTATTATAGTAGTAAATAAATAAGCAAAATTGCACATTATTTTTGTGAATTTGTGTTTCTTTCAAGTACAATTTCATTTCCAAGTCAATTCACACTTTCGCTCTTTTTGTTCACAAAGACTTCCAAAGTACAAAGTCATTTTTTGGCAGATTATCATAAATCTTTCTCTTTTTGTGTTGAGTTTACAAGATTACACTCCAGTCTATTTCATTTATCATTCCAGTCTAAACTATTTTTGTATAGAACTACAGTTATTTGTTGTTGTGAGGAAACGCCTCATCTGTAATCGTTGATCAAATGAACGTTCAAAGATGGTTCAACTGTCCATAAACGCCGGTATTTATATGTAAAATCTAAATCGGCTTCATTGGCCATTTGACAAATCCAGTCACATGTTTCAGGACAGGGATTCGGTTTAACATTTGCGGTTTAGCATCTGCATATGTTCTACAGATCAGTCTTTCTACTTCAAAATGGAACTTGTTAAATGCCAATGTTCTTTGTGAAATTTACTAGCAACTTCTTTGTGAAAACTGTTTCAAAGTAAATACAACACTTTCTCAATGTAGGAAGAATACAGTCAGAAGATTGACTGAGGAAATCGTGAAGAGTTGATTGTACACTATTGGAGTTAAAGGATAGCCTTAAAGGTTCCATCAGGCGCTTCATCTTTAGAACCTATTAGGGGTTCCATCATCGGATCATTTGATGGATTTAGTTTTTATTTAGTTCTAATTTATCG